CTCCCCGCCGCCACCACTCAGACTGGCAGACAGAGCAGCGAGCCTCAGCCAGTGCGCCTCGCTCTCCTCGAGACCAGCGCTCACCTTATGACCCCCGTTCACCAATGGGACACCGCTCACCTTTCGACTACTCATCAGACAATAAGAGCACACCAGAGCAGATCTGGAGCAGCCGCAAGACATAACAGGACCTGCCTGGGTCTGCTAGTAGCAGCCATAGACTCAGAAACACAGCAAATGCCTTACAGGACTGTTAGCTCCAACCTGAAGCTGTTTGAAGCACTGTGTATCAGTCAGTTCAGCATGGCTGTCCTTCTTGCTTCAGTTCATCTCGCGAACCTCGGAGATTAACGCCAGTATGCGGCTCAAACCAGGTAGCAGCTAGAAAAAAAAAAAAAAAAAAAAAAAAAAATTCAAAGCATATTTTTGTACTTAAGAATATAAAGCTGCATTGTTGTGTAAGCTCAACAGTACGCAGCACATTTTTTTTATTTTTATAAACTTTTTTTTTTGTTTTTTTTTAAACTCCAGAAATGGACACAATTGACCCTGAGTGCTGCCTCATATTCCTACAAAACCATGACACTGGATCTTGTAATTGACTCTCTGTGTTCATTTATCTCTGTCTTTATATCATTGTAATGTGATTATATAGCTTATTTAAGTGTTAATTCAAACAGAAATCGGTTGTCAAATGAATCACATCACAGGATGATAAGGTTAAATCGAGTCTGGATGCTCATTACCTGAAGTACCTCATTTACAGCATTTCTCCTTTCCTCAGCAGGTTTCCTTTCTTTTTAGGTGTGAATTATTTAATAATATATCTGTTTAAACAAAATAAAATAACTCTTTTTTTTTTTTTTTTTTTTTTTTTTTTTTAAGGATTTTTGGGCAATTTGTATCGTTTTCCTTCTGTAATACTGTTGTACATTTTTGTAAAATAGTAAATTGGTGGTCTTTTTCCTCAGGCTTTTTGAATTTATGATGTTTCCCCATCGACTCAGGCATTTTGTCGTTTCTGCGATTGACTGTATAATAGCTCTTTAATGATAATGCTTTCAGAATGTAACTTTTGGTAAAGGGAAAGTTCTTTAATGATAGTTTTATTCACTATAGCTTAATTCTTTTGTCTCTCAATCAGAAGGAACTGACTTTTGTAATCAGTCTGAAGAAAGACGTTCGTCTTTCAGTAGAAGCACCTGGTAAATCTTAAATAAACTTTTTACATGGTTTTGTTTTCATTAGCTTTCATTTTATTTTCTATAGGCAATAATATCAATGTTTCTATGCAGCCAACTATATTTTGTGGTGAACCACCCAACTGAATGAAGTCACTGTTACAGTTCACACTGTTGTACATAAATTTCCTCTTTATTTCAAAACAAAATTACACTGAAGGTGCATGAATTTTTATGAACTTTTACAAAGCTATTAAAAACACTCACCGTACTCATTCGTACCAACTCTTCAAAAAAAAAGTGTCAAGTTTTTCATTCTACCAGATGTCAAGCATTTTTGGAGGATACCTAGTAGGTTAATTTTATCACACTCGTACTCTCCAAACAGATGTGGGGTCGTTGGCTGAAAACAACAGTGTTCCTGGCCTGCCTGTACAGGATCCTGTCCCCACTTCTGTAGGCCTCCTCTTTGGCACGACCAAGGTGCTAGAGTCTTACTGTGAAACCAGGGCTTGTTATATGTGCAGAAGGTCTTGGTGGGCACGCGTGTCCTCACAAACATCTGTTTGGCGAGTATGGCATACAAACACTGATGTAGGATGTGTCAGTGAGTTCATCCAGGTCTGTCATCAGGTTTGCTCTGTTAAAATCCCCCAAGAATAGTGACTCTGGATGTTTCAGTTCCATGTTGTCAGGGTAACTAGGTGTTGTAGAGCCTCGCTAACACAGGACTGAGGTGGGATGTTGAAACCAACCAGGATAAACTAGGAAAACTCCCACGGTGAATAGAACGAGCAGTTTGCAGTTTCTAAGTCTGTGCTGCAATTTTTTCCTAACAGTCATTTTTGCACCACCCTTTACTTACATAGAAGCTCATTCCACATCCTCTCGTTTCCCTGGATAACCCCGTTACATTGACTGCTCTGTGGAGGTGGAACCCTGGCAACTGAACTGTGCAGTCCAGGAACAACTCACTGAGCCACATTTAAATAAAGCACTGTGCCGCAGAAAGTCACAGTCTGGTTGAAGAGGAGCAGTTCATCTATTTTGATGGCTAGTGAGCGGAGATTCACTAGATGGATAGCAGGAGCGACGTTTGGGTTAAGTTACTACAGCGGGGAGCTCTTGTAACTTAACCGGGGCGCCTGCACACCACCCTCCTGCGTCTTCTCCAAGTCCCATAGACAGAGGCCATCTATGGGACTTGGAGAAGACGCGGGCATGATAGCAGCTTCTATCATGAGTTAATATTATCAATTGACTTCTAGTAGGACAGTGTGGGAGGGTAGAAAGCTTCTTAGCATGTTGTATTATGTCTTCAGATATTTCCTGGCACCATAACAACTAATGTGGTTGAACAGGGATAAGACTGACAGCCATCTTGGTAACTGCAAGCAAACAGGGCCTGGGCTGTCCTGTTGCCACTGAGTATATTTAACCATACCAGTGGTTTCTAGTCAACAGGACAGCCTTCGCTCTGGCAGCCCTGTGATAGTCTGGCAACCTGTCCAGAATGTACCCCAATGTTAGCTGTGATTGGCTGCAGCCCCGCCCCTCTGCAGGATAGACTGATGGATGGAATCATGGAGACTTGGAGAAAATTAAGCCTTTTTAAACCATTGTCATCAATTATATACAGTATTATGCCATTTATAAAATTAGTTTAGTTTTAGAATAGCAAAGGAAGAATAAAATAAAAATCAGGGAATCGCTTCAGCAAGTTTGTCTTTATTTGGTTCCCAAAGCCTATCGGGGCCAGCATACAGTTAATGCAAAGCTACTAAGCAAACTGACCTGAGGGAGAGACTTTGATACATGTGTAACAGCTAATACAGCTTGGATGAAGATTAAGGTTATGTACTGAATAGAATCTCCTAAAAACAAACATTTTCAAGGCAACATTTCTTTTGCAACAGCCAGCTCCAGAGATGACATCGTGGATAGAGCCTTAGGAGCTTTTCTTCTCCTCAAAGATGATGTTTGCTGTGGCTTTCTTAGCTGTGGACAAATTACACACAAATGTAAGATTTCTTGTTTAGGTACAGTCTGATAGATACAAATACCGCAGTCTTCTACTTTAAAATGCAATCAACTAGAGCTTTTTTGTTTTTATTATTTCATAGTATACAGAGTACGAGTACACTTGTATGACAGATGTCATGCAAGTGTTTTTGATTGTTCCATTACGTAATATCTAATTGGACAATAAAAATGGGAATAAAAGCTTTTACAAATGGCCACTGCACTGTTATGGTGGCTTTTTTATTCACCTTTACTATTAATGTTATCTTTCATATAAAGTTGATTTCCTTCCTGACCTCTGAATTGACTACATCTGACAGATCTGCTGATTTTGGAATGCTGAAACACTGGCCGATAAATAGATTTTCTCCTCTTACTTAATGTATTATGGATCAGTAAACAGTATACAATTGTAATGATTTACAAACCCTCCTCTTTGAATTTGTCGGCAGCTTCTGATGCCTTGTCCTTGATGTTCTTCACCGCATCATCAATCTTAGCCTCATTCTTGAGGAAAATTGGTCGTATGATGCGCTCATAAATCCGGATTGATCCATTAGAAGACATTGGAGCCATGCACCACACCAAAAAGGCGCACTGGGAAAGAAGACAAGGCTGTATTGGTGAAACTATTCAAAATCTCATTTTTAAGCTATCGATTACACCACTCTTTAAGAAACAACACCCAATTTGGCTGAAAAATTACTTGGTGAAGTAGTAAACAAAATTACAACTGAAAAAATGAGAGGGTTAAACAGTGCCTTCTTTAAAGCAGAAGAATGCTGACATGTTCATCCATTCTACCAATAGTTACATGTGCAAACAAGTCAACCTCTCAGGCTTTCACAAGGTCAGAATAGGAAGCAACATTACAGTGATTACAATTGGACATGAGTTTAAAGAATACAGAGCACTAATAGATCGAGGCCCAATTGCAAACTGTAGTTCCTTATTTGGTTGGTGATGTGGAAATTTAAGGAAAGAGCGCATGGTGGTAGGTGTTCAACAGAACTGACATCTGGTGGCTGCAAAGGCCATAGTATATAATTCACATCATTTTCAAACCATTCAGTGAGTCCTCCTGCCCTATAGAGGGGTAGGGTTTCTTTTAACTTGTCACAGGCTCTCTGCGTTGTTAGTGGCTGGTGAGCCGGCTGATAGAGTTCTCAGCCTGTAGATAGTCTTTATCATTAATGGAATGTGCCTCACCGTCAAAATGTTAAAGTTTGCTCTGCTGATAAGAGCAGAGAAAACTTGTACCCAGTCTAGTAAGGTGCTGATTCACAGGGAAGGCATCAATGTGGGAAGGAAAAAGCTGGGGACTTAAATCACAGTAGCTTTATTTTCTGAGTCACTGTTTGAACACATTTGCTTCGCCACCTACAGCTGGTTTACCTTTCCAGTATAGTAGAACGGGAACCAGGAGAGGAAGATATCGGCGAAAAACTCTACCACGCTGAAGACTCCATACACGACCCAGTAGGTCAGCCATTTAGTGTCATCGTCTTTGTTCACACTTTCAATGGCCTTGATCCTGCAAAGAGAGAGGAGCAACATGTAAGATAAACATATCAAACATGGAAAAATCTGCCCGTGTCCAGGAGTGGGACGGGGCAGGAAAGAAAATCCAATTTAGGCACTCAAGTGGATGGTTGATTATAAAATGCTTTTAATGGGTTTGAGCCAACACATTAAAAATACATCACTGCATATTGGCACTCTTGCCTTCCTCAGGATGTCTGGACACACAGTGATGTCAGAACACTAAATAGTATTTCCACACACCTGAGTCAAAGCATCAAGGACCTATAAAGCCACTAGAGGAGGCTATGATAACAAAACATTAAAACCATTAACCACTAGGGGCAGAATTCAACATGTTTCCACAACAGGAAACAATAATGATCAGATCGCAGTACAGCAAAACCAAAACCAAAACACACTTTTCAAACCAATGCCACATCTCTGACAGATCAGGTTCTTTATTTAAGCCTAGATAGCATGTGGCTCTGAGGCTGTGGACACAGTATGCCTCATGGTGTTCAAGGCATCTGACCCCATCACCCTCTCTGATGTCCAAAACTATGGACTCTATGCCAGCGACTCAGCGTAGTCACTGCCATGTTGTGCTGTTAAAAAATGTTTGGCCATGTTCCCAATATCAGTAGCATAGTGATGCTCAACGACTTTGTCTCTCAGTCTTCTTTTATTCAATGGGAGGTGTTGCCATTCACATTCACATCTGAGCTGGTTTGTCTTTGATTGATCTATAACTTTATGCAGCAAAGGCAAATCTTCAGTCAACTGGGTAGCAGGAACCCACGTTATTAGAGTAAATCAGAAAAAGTTGGGACGGTATGTAAAGCCTAAATTAAAACTGAAAACAGTGATGTGTAAATCATCTGTGTCCTGTGTTACACTGAAAACAAGATGTTGTCTTGAAGGCAGCATATGTTGCTCCATCATCTCTCTGTATGCTTCAGCATTAATGGAGCCATCACAGAAGTGTAACTGACCTTTGCCAAGGACACTGACACAGCCCCAGACCATAACAGACCCTGGCTTTTGGACTTGTTGCTGCTAACAGTCTGGATGGGCCTTTTCCTCTTTGGTCCAGAGCACACGACGTCTATTCCTTCCAGTAATGACCTGAAATACTGATTGGTCTGACCACAGTACACGTTTCCACTGTGTGATGGTCCATCCCAGATGCCTCTGAACCCAGAGCAGTTGACTTCTGGACACTGTTGACATAGGGCTTCCTTTTGGCACAGTACAGTTTTAAGCAGCATCTATGGATGTAGCTACGTATTGTATATATCACATTATCATATTACTGCTGTATTATTGTGTTCATCACATTTAGTGTTGCAGCTGGTAAATGGGGAGCTAGTTTTAACTTATATGCATTTAAGAACACAGATGATTCACAAATCAATATTTTGTATCAAATGTTCTAATTTTGTAACCACGATGACAAAGTTTGATTAGCTGAGAACAATTAAACCAATAATCCAATAAGAGCACAGAACCATGACAGAGGAAAACAGTAGTGAGCCTATACCAGATAGTGTACTGACTACATGGAGCACCAGCTGCTGAGATTATGAGGTAACTGCATCAAGATAACTGTTTCATAACTTCAATTAATTGGATAATCAATTTTTTAACGTCATCCAGCGTAGGTTTGTGCCCTTTTCATACTAAAATCCCTGCAGACTCCTTGAATCTTTTAGGTCCAGCACTGCAGAGGGTGACATATCCTAATCCTTCCTATCTTTCTTTGAGGAACATTGTTTTTTAAACATTTTAATAATTTTCTCACACACATGTTGGCAAACTGATGGTCCTCAGCCCGTCTTTGCTCCTAAAGGGCTCGGCCTTTCCTGGATGCCACTTTTGTACCACATCATGATGCAGTCATCTGTTGACATCACCTGTTTCACATGGAATCATCATTTCCATTGTTTTACCTCATTACTGGCCCTGAAATGCAGCCAACCCAACTTTATTTGAAATGTGTTTCAGGCGTCATGATTGGAAAAATAAATCCCCCTTGAGCAAGCACTTGGCGACAGTGGGGAGGAAAAACTCCCTTTAACGGAAGAAACCCCGACAGACCCCAGCTCCTGGGGGGGGGGCCTTCTGCCTCGACTGGTTGGGGTGAGTGGATAGAGGAGAGAGGAAAGAAGAAAATGTGCTGCTGTGTTGTTTTCAACGTGATACAGAACACAGATGATTCACAAATCAATATTTTGTATCAAATGTTCTAATTTTGTAACCACGATGACAAAGTTTGATTAGCTGAGAACAATTAAACCAATAAACCAATAAGAGCACAGAACCATGACAGAGGAAAACAGTAGTGAGCCTATACCAGATAGTGTACTGACTACATGGAGCACCAGCTGCTGAGATTATGAGGTAACTGCATCAAGATAACTGTTTCATAACTTCAATTAATTGGATAATCAAGTTTTTTAAATACACAAATTTAAATAATCAATGCAAGTATCACAACAAATGTAAACTGAGAAAATTAGGTAATTAAATTATAATTACAAAATAATAAGTCAAAACTCCACAAATCTGTTATATGAGGATCAGTTTACTTGTAGCATATGAAAACCTTCTCTGGTTTTGCAGGGGCTGGTCAAGGCTAAGAAGACATATATATATATATATATATGTATTAAAAAATGTTCAGCAACAATGTTTAATATACCTGATGTGTAGCTGAGCTAAAATGCTGAAAACCCACTAGTATAGTCCTTTAAAGGATTAAGAGAAAGGAAACCTTATACTGGAATAATCAGCCCTAAAACAGCATTTGTTATAGTGACTAGTCAGGACTACAGTATGTCACATACATTCACTTTGTTTACAAATTCTTATTATTATTACTACAACTCTAATTCAGTGGTTTAAATTCCACCAATGTTAGTCAATGTTTGTGCATGTCTTTCTAGGTTTGTGTGCACACTATTAAGGACGTCTACCTCGACACTGCACAGACTTGACTTTAGGTCTAGGTCAGGGTTTGGATTTGGACATTTAGCTGTGATAGTTGGTAGTAATGGGTTTACAACTATAAAAAGCCAAACGTGCGTGTGTGTGTTGGGTGTGGCTGCTGCGCAGGGCCCTTCTTGACAGAAGTGTTCTAAGAATAATACACTTACGATGTGTAGGCTGGATAAAGAAAGCCGATGAGATTGCACAGCAAGGAAGCTCCATAACCGATGACCAGGTAAACTGCGATGATAGCGACGACAACTGGAATAAAAAAAAACAAAAAAATATGTGTCACACCCCACAGTCCTACCATAGAATAGCGAACACACAGTCATTATAACAAAAAGCTACTAGCAACATTGTGTTTCTGTGGTTGGATCATGGCACTATGCAGCCGCCTCGGCCACGCGCTGCCTGCCCTTTTCCTGTTTTCTTTCTTTTCCTATCTCCCGTCGGTTCTCACCGAGAGCGATGTACGTCCTGCTCACTCCAGTTTTTTTCTCGATTTTTTCCAGAACATCTGTCATATAATTCTTTTCGTGGAGAAACTTGTCAAATCTTTCTTTGAGCCCCTGCGCCATGGCTACACTTCCTTCTTTGGTGATGCTGATGAAACTACTCTGAACCAAACTGCGACACCTCTTCCTCCGACACTGCTGCTGTCAGAGGCGTCAAGTCAGGCAGGATGAAGGCTACATTACTCTGATCATCACCTTCAAAATAAAAGCACGGGGCTTAGGGTTTGAAGAATAAACTGTTGCTTATTACGTTATTAAATTCAGTCATATAGGCATGAGTTGGGGGGGGATGTAAATTTTACTGAGTTTCCATATTTTAAACTGTCTCCCTCACCTTCATCCCCACTGTCTTTGGTAAGCAAAGAGTTTATTCCTTATGTACTGACTGCCTTCAACCTTTCCATTCCACCTACAGTTCTAAGTAACATTAACTCCAGTGGTGGAAGAAGTTCTCAGATCCTTCACTTAAGTAAAAGTAGTGATACAATAGTGTTAAAATACTCTGTTACAAGTAAAGGTCCTGCATTCAAAATGTTACTTCAGTCAAAGTACAAAAGTATTAACATCAAAACATACTTAAAGTATTAAAAGTAAAAGTACTCATTATGCAGTATATCACATTATCATATTACTGCTGTATTATTGTGTTCATCACATTTAGTGTTGCAGCTGGTAAATGGGGAGCTAGTTTTAACTTATATGCATTTAATTTGACTTACTGCTGAGTAGCTTGTGAATTTTCCACCATAGATCAGTGAGGTCTTATAATTATACTGTATTTTATATATTAATCTGGTTATAAAAGGTAACTACTAACTAAAGTTACAAAATAAATGTAGTGAAGTAAAAAGTACAATATTTGCAACTACAATGTAGCAAAGTATGAATCAGAATTTACTGATCATATGAATTCATACACAGTTTGAAACCATAGTTACATAGGGATACATACATAGGGATACCTTTAGCCTCTTTTCCACCAGCTGGTACTTACTCAACTTGAATCAACTCTACTCGCTTTTGGAGGATAAGTGGTTAATCAACAAACTTTCAACATTGATAGCTAAATGGGTGGCTACAGCTCGCAGGCCAATTAATACTGTGAAGTATGAGGGTCTGCTTGAAATAATTCACATCATATCCAAAGACTGACTTGTGTGAAGATGAGGAAGCTAAAATGGAGAAGGCATTGGGACAAACAAGTTGTGCTCACTGGACACAACTAGACTTCTCTCAATAATCAGTTACTTCTGGGACCTTTAAGGTACATTTAGAACCAGTGATGGAAGAAGTTCTCAGATCCTTCACTTAAGTAAAAGTAGTGATACAATAGTGTTAAAATACTCTGTTACAAGTAAAGGTCCTGCATTCAAAATGTTACTTCAGTCAAAGTACAAAAGTATTAACATCAAAACATACTTAAAGTATTAAAAGTAAAAGTACTCATTATGCAGTATATCACATTATCATATTACTGCTGTATTATTGTGTTCATCACATTTAGTGTTGCAGCTGGTAAATGGGGAGCTAGTTTTAACTTATATGCATTTAATTTGACTTACTGCTGAGTAGCTTGTGAATTTTCCACCATAGATCAGTGAGGTCTTATAATTATACTGTATTTTATATATTAATCTGGTTATAAAAGGTAACTACTAACTAAAGTTACAAAATAAATGTAGTGAAGTAAAAAGTACAATATTTGCAACTAAAATGTAGCAAAGTATGAATCAGAATCAGAATCTGCTTTATTGGCCAGGTGTGTCGGACACACGAGGAATTTGACTCTGGTACATCGGCTCTCAATGTGTATGTACAATATCCCCATGCAAGGGGCAAGTAAACAGTAAACCAGCATAAGGCTAGTATAACAAAATAGCAGTATTAATAGCAAAAAACTGTGCAAACAAAGTGCAAAATAAGCAGACAAAGGAATGCTCATTGTGAAATGAGATAAACAGGAATAAAAACAGAGTACTTAAAAACAGAGACCTGTACGGATCTGTATAATCTGTACAATGTACATTTACAGGTATTGCACCGAGGATTATTGTCCAGTCATACTGTCGTACTGTCGTGGGTCAGGTGTTCATCAGAGTGATGGCCTGGGGGAAGAAACTGTCCTTGTGCCTGGTAACAGAAGTAACAGAAAATGAAAATTCTCAAGTACAGATACCTCAAAATTGTATTTAATTACAGTACTTGTAACAAATTATAGAACAAATTTTGTTTGTTGTTGTTTTATTGTGGTGTTGTTACATAAACTCTGGAAATCCCACCACAAGTATTTATTCTGAAGTTAAATGGAAGTGAATGTGGTCTCATATACTGTATATACTGTTAATATGTCCAACTTGATGCAGCCTTTGCTCAACAAATATAGAAACCTGGATACATTTTCCCTTGATTTTAGTCTTGCAGGCATTGCTTTCCTGTTTGTGTGTGTGTGTGTGTGTGTGTGTGTGTGTGTGTGTGTGTGTGTGTGTAGTCTTGCATGATGATCAGGTTAAAGGCTGTCAGAGCTTCTCCAGAACTGTGTGTATTAGAGGTTAAAGTCAGAGTGAAATAATTCAAATAAACTCCAGTCCTCTGCAGCCACACCCTTCCTTGCTTTGATGACATAGCAAAATTCAACTGCCGGTATTTGCCAGCAGCTGATTTACAGGCACGTGCTCACTACTTCAGGGTGGGTTAATGATGTCTGGTTAATAATTTATGGTGTATTTAGGCTTGTGTTCTTATTGTTTCCTTTGATGAATAAATTAATAGGTGGTTTAATTGTGTTTCATATGTTGTCTACATACAGCTGAATTAGTTTTTCATAATTACAGACAGGCACACACCAAACCTAGACAATGAGGAAGTGAAGAATCTCAGTTAAAAAGAATCAAGCTGTTGCTACACAAATATAATTTTATGATCACTACATTACCTGATAAAAGGTGGAGCAAAAATACAAGTTAATAACAGCAGCTGTGCTGTATTGACATGTAAAATGAAAAAGTAAGATCAAGTATCTCCACCCTTCCTGCTCGCTGGAGGCATGCGCAGCGGTGTTTCCAATATATGACACGTGCACATGTTAAGATGTACAGGTGTTAACATGCAAGTCCAGTGGAGCTTCAATGCCACTGACTGATAATACAGGGACCAACCCCTTTTGGTGTATGGTACTGTGCCTACATCACAGTAGGATCTGATGAATGTATACGCTGCTGTGACATAATCTTGAAGTTTTCTAAGTTTTTTCAGTTTACTATGACCTGGATAACTGAGAATCTGCACAGACATGTCAAATGATCTTGTGTAGATGTGTTTTCATGGTTACACTGAGGTACTGATCATATGAATTCATACACGGTTTGGAACCATAGGGATACATAGGGATGCATACATAGGGATACCTTTAGCCTCTTTTCCACCAGCTGGTACTTACTCAACTTGACTCAACTCTACTCGCTTTTGGTACCAGGTGCTTGGTTTTCCACTGCAGATCATCCCTTCTCATGGTAGCTGGTTATTTTTTGTGTGTGTGTGTGTGTGTATGTGTGTATGTGTGTGTGTGTGTGTGGCTGGTTATCATAGCAACACAACATTACACTGCTGTGACGTCATCAGCAACTGACACACTAACAATGGAAGACATCAAAAGTACGCTGTTCTTGATTATCAGTATGTGGCTGTTTTTAGTTAGTATAGTGACTACAGTAAAGTAGCAGTTAGCGTTGAATAACGTTGCTTTTAAAAATGGTGCTTTCTTTGTTGCAGGATGTCTAGCACATTGATAATGTAATTTCTCTGACCAATCACTAGTCTGCAGTGTTTACACATCACCGTTTGGTATCGTCTCTGCTCACTTGGAACCTCAACAAAGGCAATGCTAAAAAAAATGATACCAGGTACTGGGTACTATACCCAACATTTGACTGATGGAAACACAAATAAGGCGACATTTCAGCCAGTCACGTGTTTCACTGAGCTGGCTCTGAAGCAGAGCCAACTGAACTGGAGTTAACATGTGCTGTCAGAAACTAATGGAAAGCGAGGCCAATCCTGTTTGACTGGCTATGTACAATAAAAGTGGACTGAACCACACTCATGGAAAAATACTACCCTCAGGAATTTCAGATGCACAGCAACACCATACTGAAAGTTTCAAAAGTGTGTTTTAGAGCCTTAAGGCTTTCTGAAGTTATCTTGTCTGAGGTGGCTTGGATGGGGGAGGACTGCCTCTGTTTGCATTTTCACAAATTTGAAACTGTGTTTTAGAGTCTTTAGCATGTCTGTGGTAATCTAGTCAAGATCTGACAAGTCTTTAAAATCCTATATATGTAGGTTTTTCTGTCTGAAAATGTCAAATGCACAAAGTAGAAACCTGTAACCTGTCAGAATAACATTGCCACAATAACAAGAAAGCTAATTCTGCTGATATATTTTAATAGAAGTTAGTTAATCATTGATTTCAGGGAAGTGAAGTGAAAAATTAAAAAGTACAACTTAAGATTTTCAAGTAAATATAATGGGGTCCAAGTAGCCTGGCATTTCAGACAATGCAGGGGTTCTAGATTTGCACCTCAAAGTTCTTTTTGTCTGTGCCCCAAGAATGATGGCTAGGTACATTCACTCAAACAGGGAGGAGTCCAGATCCTGAGCCGACCTAGTATGAGGGCTAAGAGGACCAGCCATTTATTGTCTCTGGTCTCAACATATTACCAGGCGAGCGTAGCTTAGGATTTCTAGACTATTAGACTTATTGCTCATGGACTGACAGCGATGAGCCTGAGTCAGGAAAGGATTTGAAAGTGAAGTCATCCCCTGCGGCAAAGGAAAAAATACAACACAAAGGTATGCATAAAGCACAAAAAACATGAATAAAAATAGCTAGAAAAATGAACTGAGCTCAGTAAATACAAAAACACCAAAACAGAGAGAGACCAAAGGCACAGGCCTACAGCATCCAAATCCAGAAGTAGATAACAGGCTAGGAGTCAAAACAAAAGACTTACAGAGCAGACAGGGGTTACACAAGGAGAGACTCAAACTAGCAAAATGCAGGTCAAAAAAACAGGCAGGATACAGGTCAATGAATCAGGCCACAGAAATCAGGGACCCAAGATGGAAGGGCAGCAAGTGACTATCTGGAGGGTGTTTGTAATTTGCATCAC